CAATCAATGTGGCTTAGAAGATGCAATGCTATCATTGGCCAGGTCTGGGTCATGTGACTACCCAAAACCAGGAAGAAGATCTCTTCTCCCCCCTCCTTGCTGCCTGTATTGGAAATGGAAAATATGTGGATTCCCACAGGTGCACCATGCTGCTGGCTCCAAACAGATGTCTGCCATAGGTAGGTAGCACTGTTATCCTCATTTACAGAGGAGCGAGTCAAGATTCTGAGGGGTTAGTGGCTTTCTCAGGGGCTTCATAGTCAGTAGCAGAGCTGGGAATTTGAACCTGGGACTTTTTTTTTTTTTTTTTTTTTTTAGCTAGAGTTTATCTGTGTCACCCAAGCTAAGCTGGAATGCAGTGGTGTGATCATAGCTCACTGCAACCTTGACCTACTGGGCTCAGGTGATCCTCCTGCCCCAGCCTCCCATCTGGCTGGGACTGCAGTCAGGCACCACCAGGCCTGGCTAATTTTTAAAAATATATTTGTAGGCCAGGTACGGTGGCTCACGCCTGTAATCCCAGCACTTTGGGAGGTTGAGGAGGTCAGATCACCTGGGGTCGGGAGTTCGAGACCAGCCTGACCAGCATGGATAAACGCTGTCTGTACTAAAAATACAAAAACTAGCTGGGTGTGGTACCTCATGCCTGTAATCCCAGCTACTTGGGAGGCCGAGGAAGAATTGCTTGAACCCAGGAGGCAGAGGTTGTGGTGAGCTGAGATCGCGCCATTGTACTCCAGCCCGGGCAACAAGAGTGAAACTCCACCTCGAAAAATATATATATATACACACACACACACACATATACACACACACACACACACACACACACGTATATATATATATATATATATACACACACACACACATATACACACACACACACATATATTTGTAGAGATGGAGTCTCTCTGTGTTGCCCCGGCTGGTCTTGAACTCCTGGGCTCATTCAATCTTCCTGCTATAGCTTCCCAAAGTGCTAAGATTACAGGTGTGAGTCCCTGTGCCTGGCTCAAACCCAGGACTCTTGACTCTCGTATTTAGGACCCTTTCTGTGGATGCGTGTTTGGTACAGAAGGGAAGGTAACGTTGAGCTAGGCTGAGTGAGGCGCATGGAGGATACTCTGGGCAGGGAACTGCCTGTGCAGAGGTGTGGAAGTGGGACCCAGCACTGTGGCAATTGAAGATGTGGAGGAAGCACATTACATTTTGTATTTGCCAGCTGGGCGCAGTGGCTCATGCCTGTAATCCCAGCATTTTTGGAGGCCACAGCAGGAGGATCACCTGAGGTCAGGAGTTCAAGAGCAGCTTGGCCGACACGGTGAAACCCCATCTCTACTAAAAATACAAAAATTAACCAGGTGTGGTGGTGCGCACCTGCAATCCCAGCTACTCGGGAAGCTGAGGGAGGAGAATCACTTGAACCTGGGAGGTGGAGGTTGCAGTGAGCCGAGATCATGCTACTGCACTCCAGCCTGGGTGACGAGACTCAGTCTTAAAAAAAAATGTATTTGCATAAAGCACCTCTTTAAAATCTCCCGGCAAGAATATGAGCTACATGCTGTGAGGACGTCCATTTTTCATACCCATAAAGTGGAGCTTAGATGGCCATGACCATCAGCTCAAAGCCAGAAACAGCGAAACCAGCTTTAAATCCAGGTTCGGCCATTCCTCAAAGCTGGGCCTCCTCCTCTACCCCTGTGCTATGGGTTGAATCGCATCCTCTCAAAACATGTGTTGAAGTCCTGGCCGGGCGCAGTGGTTCATGCCTGTAATCCCCACACTTTGGGGGGCCAAGGCAGGTGGATCACCTGAGGTCAGGAGTTCGAGACCACCCTGGCCAACACGGTGAAACCCCGTCTCTACTAAAAATACAAAAAAATTAACTGGGCGTGGTAGTGTGCACCTGTAATCCCAGATACTCGGGAGGCTGAGGCAGAAGAATTGCTTGAACCTGGGAGGCGGAGGTTGCAGTGAGCCAGGATTGTGCCATTGCACTCCAGCCTGGGTGACAGAGCGTCTCAAAAAAAAAGCAAACAAAAACAACTGTTAAAGTCCTAACCCCTGACATCGGGGAATGCGACCTTGCTTGGACATAGGGTCTTTGCCGATGTAATCAAATTAAGATGAGGTCATTACGATGGACCCGAATCCAATATGACTGGTGTCTTCTTAAAAAGAGGAGGTGACAAGTTTGTGAGTGCACCACTCCAGTCTCTGCCTTCGTTGTCACATGGCTGCCTTTCCTGTGTCTCTGTCTTGGTGTCTCTTGTTTACTTTTCTTTATTGAGACATAATCTTGCTTGGTTGCCCAGGCTGGAGTGCAGTGGCGCCATCTTGGCTCACTGCAGCCTCCGCCTCCTGGGTTCAAGCGATTCTCCTGCCTCAGCCTCCCGAGTAGCTGGGATTACAGGCGTGAGCCACCATGCCCAGTCTAATGTTTGTATTTTTAGTAGAGATGGGTTTCATCATGTTGGCCAGGCTGGTCTCGAACTCCTGACCTCAGGTGATCCACCCACCTCCACCTCCCAAAGTGCTGGGATCACAGGCGTGAGCCACCAAGCCCCGCCTCTCCAGTGGTTTTAGTCAGCACCCCACAACAAAATCCAAGTTTCTTACTAAGCTCTACAAGGGCCCGCACGACCTGCCCCATCCCCTCCCCACCCTCCCCTCCTCCCTCTCCCCCCTCACTCACTCTGCTGCTGCCACACGGGGCTCCCGCTCTTCCTCCCATGTGCCAGGTGCAGTCCTGCCACAGGGCCTTTGCATGGTCTGTGCATTCTGCCTGGAACTTCCTTCCTGCACTAACACCTCCTTCCTCCCCTTCTGGTCTTTTGTTTGTTTGTTCGTTTTTTATTTTGAGACAGGGTCTTTCTCTGTCACCCAGGCTGGACTGCAGTGGTACAATCATAGCTCATTGCAGCCTTGACCTCCTGAGCTCAAGTGATGCTCCCACCTCAGCCTCCTGAGTAGCTGGGACTACAGGTGTGTACCACCATACCTGGCTAGTTTTTGTATTTTTTGGAGAGATGGAGTTTCACTATGTTGCCCAGCTGGTCTCGAACTCCTAGACTCAGGTGATTTGCTGGCCTCAGCCTCCCAAAGTGCTGGGAGTGCAGGCGTGAGCCACCGTGCCCAGCCCCGAGCGTCAGGTCTAAGGTTTCCCCCCGAGCTCCCTGACCGCCCCCAGACTCTCCGTCTCATGACCCCTTCGTATCTTCGTTCTTGCGTTTCTGTCCTGCTGACATCTCCCTGCTCATTTATTGAATTATATATTTTGTATCTCTCCCCCACCCTGGAGTAATAGTCTCGGGAGAGCAGAGACTTTTCTGTTTTGTTCACTGCTGTGTGTGAGTGCCTGGAACAGCGTCTGGCACGGAATGGGCGTTCCCTGGAGGTTGCCTGGGCTTGCATCTGCATTTTGCACGTGACTCTCGTATTCATGCTGTTCCAGGGGAAATCACAGAGGCGGCCTCGACCTTATTCCTCCCGTGGCCTCACCTAGTAGCTCTTTCTTATTGGTGCACGGCCAAGCAGCCCCTCCCTGCCCAGAACACCCCTTGCTTCCTTGCATTTTTTTTTTTTGAGATGGGGTCTCACTCTGTTGCCCAGGCTGGAGTGCAGTGGCGTGATCTCAGCCCACCACAACCTCCGCCTGCCAGGTTCAAGCCATTCTCCTGCCTCAGCCTCCTGAGTAGCTGGGATTACAGGCGCACGCCACCACACCTAGCTAATTTTTTATTTTTAGTAGAGAGGGGGTTTCACCACGTTGGTCAGGCTGGTCTCAAACTCCCAACCTTGTGATCTGCCCACCTCAGCCTCCCAAGGTACAGGCAGGACCCACCGCACCTGGCCAACATTTTTTTTTTCTTTTTTGAGACAGGGTCTCACTCTGTGACCCAGGCTGGAGTGCAGTGGAGTGATCATAGTTCACTACAGCCTTGACCTCCTGGGCTCGAGCAGGCCTCCCTCCTCAGCCTCCCAACTACCTGGAACTACAGGCATGCATCACCACACCTGGCTAATTTTTAAAAAGAAGTTTTTTGTTGGATAACATTGAAAGGAATAAAAAAAGAAAAGAAACAAAGAATTTTTTTGCAGAGGCGGGGTCTTGCTATAGTGCCCAGGCTAGCCTCAAACCTATAAACTTGAGCAAACCTCCCACCTCAACCTCCCATCCCATCATGCTTGGGATTCCATGAGACATCAGAGAAAACAGAGTAAAAGGGGTTGGAAAACTCTGTGGCACCTTTGCAACTTTTCTGGAAATGTCAACCAGTTCCAAAGGAACACGTATTTTAGTAGAGATGGGGTTTCACCATGTTGGCCAGGATGGTCTCGATCTCCCGACCTCGTGATCTGCCCATCTCAGCCTCCCAAAGTGGTGGGATTGACAGGCATGAGCCACCACCGTGCCTAGGGTAAAACGTTTATTTTAAAAGAAAGAACGTGGCTGGGCGAGGTGGCTCACACCTGTAATCCCGGCACTTTGAGAGGCCGAGGTGGGTGAATCATGAGGTCAAGAGATCGAGACCAACCTGGCCAACATGGTGAAACCCCATCTCTACTAAAATACAAAAATTAGCTGGGCGTGGCGGCACACACCTGTAATCCTAGCTACGCGGGAGGCTGAGGCAGGAGAATGGCTTGAACCTGGGAGGCGGAGGTTGCAGTGAGCCACGATCGCGCCACCGCACTCCAGCCTGGTGCCTGGCAACAGAGCGAGACTGTCTCAAAAAAAAAAAGAAAAAAAAAGTGAATGAAAAATAAGGCGGTCTGATCAGGACCCGCGGCCCGTGTGCCTGGGACTGAAACCAAAGCGTGGATGCCCCGTCCCAGAGCCACTCTGGCACCACGGTCCCAGCCGCCCCGAAAAGGTCCCCCGGCCCTCCCCTCCCCTCGCGCACCTGCCAAAATGGGCCTCGGTCTCAGGCTCGGTGGGATGGGTGTCTCTCGGCCCCAGCCAGAGGCGGATGGCCCCATAGCAAGGCGAAGAATCTGCTTTCAAACCCACTTTATTCTCTTCAGACCAGAAACATTCCTTGTCGCCCCCGCTCCCTGCCCTAGATCTTTACTGACCGGGGGCCTCAGGAGGGGCTGGGGAGGCAGCGGCATCCTCTGCCCCCAGGGACGTGGCGCTGCAGTGGCAGTGGGGGCCGGTGCGGGCCAGCAGCTCCAGCCTCCGGGAGCGCAGCCGAGCTTGGATGGCCCAGATCGGGGGCCGGTGCCCCGGCAGGGAGGGGTCCTCGTCGCTGAAGCTCTCGGTGGTGGAGTCAAAGCCGTCTTCCGTGCCGGCCACCGACTGTTTGCAGACGGGGCAGGAGCGCCGGGGGGCTTGGGAGAACCAGGGGTCGATGCACCTGCAGTGGTAGGTGTGTGAGCAGGGGAGGATCTTGAGCTGGTCGCCCTCCTCGTAGTCATCCAGGCAGATGGCACACAGGTCGTTCTGCCGCGTGAAGGTGCGGACCTGGGCCTTCTGACAGGTGGACGTCTTCACCGCCCGCCTGCGGCCCCAGCGGGCCTGAACCCAGAGCCACAGGCGGTTCAGCGTGAAGAAGGCAGACACGACCAGGGCCAGGGTGCGGCCCAGCGCCCAGGACACGGTCAGCACGGGGTGGCAGTCCAGGTCACGGCAGGGTGGGTCGTCGGGCAGGAGCAGCACGTGGGCCGACTTGTCGCAGCGCAGGATGAACCGCAGGTCCTGCGAGGCGGCCTCGCCCACGAACACCGAGGGGATGGCGATCTGGCCCCTCAGGTCCTCGTAGACGTGGGCCATGCTCACGAGGTCGTCCGAGTGGACGTTGTGCACTATGACTGCCTTGAAGCCGGCGCGCTGGGCGTTCAGCACCTTGAGGTCGAAGGTGCAGTCGTAGCGGCGGATCAGCGCAATGGCGCCCAGGGAGCGGTTGCCCCGTCGCGGGGCCTCGATGGCCTGGCACGCGTTGGCCGGCTTGGCCTCCATCAGGTAGCCCCGAATGCCCTCGGGGGCCAGGGGGACGCCAAACAGTGCCGGCAGGTCCGCAAAGTCCACTGAGCTTGAGTTGTCTTCCAGCACAGCCCGTACCACCGCCTGCGCGGGCACCTGGAACACCCACAGGACCAGCAAGGCCTTGGCCGCCACCAGGGCCGGGCCGGGCCGTGGCCACCCCATGGCCACTTGCGTCGCCGGCTGCGTGCCGCTAGGTCCCCGTGGGGACGGCTGGCGGGGGGCCTTTGGGCATCTCCGGGGCCTCCCAGGGAGCCCGTGGCCAGGACGCCCGGGCAGTTGAGTTAGAGGGACCACGTGGCTCGGAGGCGGGGACACGACCACTGCAACCCCCGTGGCTCTAGGCATGAGGTGGTGTGGATGGCAGCCCAGTGTGCATCGTGTTTTCGAAGGCCGGTTTCAGGAGGTGCTGGCGCAGGTGGCCTTTCTGGCAGATGACAGGGAGACCAGGTGCCCCCAGGGTTCTAGATGCCCCCAGCTTCTGTGACATCATCCTGGTGCATTCTGTCCCAGGAGCGGCCACCTCCCTGGGCCTGTGGCCAATGCATCATTCTTAGGTCTGTGGTTTGTGGGTGCCTTGGCGCGATCTTGGCTCGCTGTGACCTCTGCCTCCCAGGTTCAAGCGATTCTCCTGCCTCAGCCTCCCGAGTAGCTGGGACTACAAGTGCACGCCACCATGCCCAGCTAATTTTTATAGTTTTTAGTAGAGACAACGTTTCACCATGTTGGCCAGGCTGGTCTGGAACTCCTGACCTCGGGTGATCTGCCCACCTTGGCCTTTCAAAGTGCTGGGATTACAGGCGTGAGCCACACACGAGGCCAGGAAAGCTTCTTGAAGGCTCAGGGCCTCCTTGGACCCAAGGAGGCCCAGGGGTGGCACAAAAGGGCTGGTGGCCCCCAGCAGTGCAGATTCACCCCTTACCGTGCTAAGACTCTACCGGCATCATCTCCTGGAGGTTTCTGACAATGCACTGAGGAAGGTGACAATGTTACCCTCGTCTGAGACTCTCAAAGGGATGCAGACTTGTGGCCACCCCCCCCCTACAATGAGGTCAGTGCCTAAAACCCAAATTCCTGACCACCTCTCACTGTCCTCCAGACACACAGGCTGCCTCACTGTACCTCCAAGACTCCAGGCGGGATCCTGCCCCAGGGCCTTTGCACGAGCTGTGCCTCCCGCCTGGAAAGCGCTTTCTCTCCGTAGCTGGCTCTTTGTCTGGACTCAGGTCTGAGTCCATACATCCTCAGAGCCCAGCTGCACTTGATTTAGAGGGAGGGTGAAGTGCCGGGGTCAGGGTGGGGCTGGTGGGGGTCGGTGGTTTCAAGTCTTCGCTGCCAGGTTGGCCTCCAGGCTTGCACCAGCTTCATTCTCTCTCGCTGTACCACTGGCTCTCCATCTGGGTCTCCAATTGTGCCCACTGCCTGAGCTTCAGCCCTGGGCATCAGCCTCACCTCCTCCCCAATCTCCATCCCCCAGATTTCACACTCTATCTGTCTGCAGCCCACTCAACTCTGATTTCCGTCTGCCATTCATAAGCTGTATGACATCAGCTAAATTCCTTAGCCTCTCTGGGCCTCAGCTTCCAGACCTGTAACATGGGCGTGATAGTCTCTATCATGCTCTAAACTCTCCCATGGCTCCCCATTGCCCTCCAGATAAAGTCCACACTCCCCTCTGTGGTCTACATACACCTCTGGGGATGGGCCCCTGCCAGTCTCTGAAGCCTGGGTGATCTGCAATGCCCCAGAGGCATCGTGCTTTGCCCGCCTCTGGAATTTCGCAAATGCTGCTCCCTCTGCCTGGAACAGAATTATCGCTCCTCAACTTCACTTTGCCAGACTGACTATTTAGTCTTTAGGTTTTCCATGTTGGCCTAATACCTCCCAGAGCAGCCTGCAGCCAGAAACAGATGGGAAGTGGTAGGTAAGTGCCCCCACTCCCTCATCTCTCTGCTGGGACAAATCGAGGTAAGTTCTTCCGTGTCTCCTGGAGGTCCCCAGTTGAATGAGCCCCAGAAGTCAATGAATCCCGTACTGCCTTGTCAGTGAGCCCGCTGCTGTCTCCTTCCCTTCCCCACTCACTTCTCTCCCCTCCCGCCACTTCCTGAGATCACCTCCCACACAAATCTCTTGTACCACGTAGTGGGCAGAATCGTGGCCCCAGAAAGAGATGCTGAACCCCTAACCCCCAGTTGTGGCCAGCCCCGGTGAATGGAACCTTATTTGGAAATAAGATCTTTGCAGATGTATTCGAGCCAAGATGAAATCATTCTAGAGAGTGCGTCCTTAATTCAATGTGACCGGTGTCCTTAGAAGCAAAGGAGAAAAGGCCGGGTGCAGTGGCTCATGTCTGTAATCCTAGCGCTTTGGGAGGCCGAGGCGGGCAGATCAGTTGAGGCCACGAGCACATGCCGCCATGCCTGGCTGATTTTTGTATGTTAGTAGAGACGAGGTTTCACCATGTTGCCCAAGCTTGTCTTGAACTCCTGACCTCAAGTGATCCACCCACCTCAACCTCCCAAAGTACTGGGATTATAGGCGTGAGCCACCTTACCCAGCCCCTGGTGGCACTCCTGCCCCTGCTCCGTCTAATGCCACAAACAGAGGCCACACTATCCAGAGGCTACTGCCTTGGCCACCGTGGACAGTCCTTGAAGGCCAGTGCTACCAAGCAGAGGCAGTTTTTTCCGTGCAGCAGGCATGAGAGGAGGCGAAGGTGGAAAAATAGAAGCAGAGAGGGACAAATGTAGTGGACAGGCTCGGGTTGGCTGTGGTATGCAAGACCCAACCGCAGCGGCGTAGGCATACAGGCCTGAATGTGAAATGTGAGTAGTGAGTCCTGGGATGGCAGGGACATGCTATGGTGTCTGTAGCCTGGACTCCTTCCATCCACCGTATCCTCAGGGAGTGGCCTCCTCCTCGTGGGACAAGGCAGCTGTGTAAGCACCAGCCATCACATCTGCCTCCCGGGCAACGAGGAGGAAAGAGTGAGGAAGGGTTCGCCTTGTCCCTTTAAGGATACTTCTTGGAAATCCCAGGCACCACTTCTGCTCACACTGCATTGGCCAGAATTAGTCATGTGGCCACACCTAGCAGAAAGGTTGCTGGGAAATGTAGTCTTTATTCTGAATGACCAGCTGTGCAGCTGAAAACCAGGGGTTCTATTACTATGGAGGGGGAGAGAACAGATGTTGGAGGTGTCCAGCACCACCTGTCACTTGGACACGCTTGAGTAACCTGGCTTTCAAAGGCTGCCCAATACATGTTTGCTGGATGAATGAATGAATGAATGAATCCCCATGCCTCCAGCTTAGGCCTTCTTCAATGGGGAGTGAACTCGCTGTCCCTGGGGATGGAAATCACCTTTTCCCGGGGCCCTTCTGTGCATCAGGCCCCAGGCCATGTGGCTTCACTCCACCATTCAACCACTCTGAGCCTCAGTTTCCCCTTCTGTAAAAAGGAGGCACCATCAGCACCTGCACCATGGGGTTTGCTGAGTGTGGACAGCAGTAAGCACAGTGCCCACCACCTCCCAAGTGCTCTGTCTGCATTCATTGATGGCCTAAGTGACCTGCCCACGGCCCGGTCATAATACTGGGTGATCACAGCTACTCGGGAGGCTGAAGTGGGAGCATCGCTAGAGCCCGGGAGTTTGAGGCTGCAGTGAGCTCTGATCCTGCCGCTGCACTCCAGCAGTGCGCCACCGAGCAAGACCCCGTCTCTAAAAATAAAATAAATATTGAGTGATCAAACCGTGATGGGGCAAACTCAGGTACTGTGCCAACCCAAAGGGAGGTGCTTGGCTCATTCTAGAGAATCTGGAAGGCTTCCTGGAGGTGGTGTCTTCCAGACTGCGATCAGACGGACTAAGCAGTGGATAGTGCTATGAACAGAAAACGCGATCCTGGCAGCTAAAACAGCATGGGCAAACGCCCTGCCTAAGTAGCCTGGTCTGGCATCCAGTAGGTGCTTAGTAAGCGAACACAGAACTCCCTGTCACCACTCAGGGCCTGCCCCCTCTGAAAAAGGGTCTCAGCTTCATCCCAGCTTCCTCAGTCCCCCAACAGCCAGGCCTGGGCCCTTCTCCAGCCGCCTCCACGAAAGCGGAGTTGTGCCAAGGACTGGCAGCTTAACGAGGCTGGCCCGTGCCAGCCCCGCCGGCCCCCGCCTTGGCTGCCGTTCTTCGTGAGAAGCTGCCGAGGCCCCCTCCTGCCCAGCCAGGTGGTGCCCCGTCTGTGTTTGTCTAAGGGGGAGTGTGGCCAAATGGGGAAACTGAGCCCCAGAAGAGTGAGGCACTCAGGGATGGCCAGGGCCACCAGCCCTGCTACTGAGCAATGCAGCCTGCTGAACCAGTGACCATGCTTTGCAGGAAACTTCACTGACCCTCTGCATCCAGGGCCAGGTTCCTGTGTGCACCCCATCTTCCGGGGGGCGGGGACTGAGTCTGTGACAGGGACCCGGCTCACCAGGACTAGAAAGCTGCAAAGTGGCTGAGCTCGGATTCGAACCCTGGCTCCATGAATACTCCATAATACTCACTGAGTATTTAGGGTTCCCCACTCAGTGCCCACATCTGCACTGGAAAACACAGGGGACTCTTAAGAGTTCTAGGGCCCCCGCCCAGCCCTCAAGGAGCCCCAGGATTTGGGGAAAGATGAACTCAGCCAGGGCTGAGGGAACTCAGAGAGTGGGGTTCAGGGCAGGCTTCCTGGAGGAGGGGGCATTCAAGTGAACTTGAAGGACAAGTAGGAACTTGGCGAGAAGAGTGGAAGTCGGAGGAAGAGTACACCTGGGGGTGCCCGGTGTATGGTCTGTGCAAAGGGACAGGTGGGCAGTCGATTCTGCGCATTTTGGAGAATTGCAAAATAAGTCCTTAGGGCTCAGATGAGGGAGGGCTGGGATGTTTAAGGACTTAATTACCAAGCGAACTTAATTACCAAGCGAAGGCATCTGCTTGTGTCTTCACTGATTTGCCAATTCTGCCGTTCAGCAAGCTTTCCCTGACGCGGGACCCTGGCTGGGCAGGGCTAGGTTCCAGGGCAACTGGGAGTGAGGATTGGGGCTTTTGCCCACACGAGGACTCAGGGAGCCCCAGGGCTGGTGCCTGCTGGATTAAACCTCCCCACACTCCTGCAAGAGAGGTATGTTAATCCCACTTTCCAGATGAGAAACAGAGAGGTGATACGACTTGCCTGAAGCCACACAGCACACAAGGGGCCGAGCCTGGATTCAAACGCAGGTTCACAGAGCCCCGTGTGCTTTGCTCTTTCACTTGACTGCCTCATTTATTTATTTATTTATTTATTTATTTTTGAGACAAGGTCTTGTTCTGTCACCCAGGCTAGAGTGCAGTGGCGCAATCTCGGCTCACTCCAACCTCCACCTCCTGGGTTCAAGTGATTCCCTTGCCTCAGCCTCTCGAGTAGCTGGGATTACAGGCGTGC